CAACACTTCAAGACAGAATCCACGAAAAAGAGGAAATTGGACAACCCTGACGAACGCCACTTACGGTCGGAAAGCTATCCGATAGGCCACCGTAGACCCTGACGCGGCCTGTAGTGTTTGAGCACGAAGGATGTTCACATATTTCTTGGGAACACCTCGTCGCGCAAGTATTTCTAAAGGAATTGGTGGATCAACTGAATCGAACGAACTCTTGAAATCGAGGAACACAGCTATTGTTGGTCTGCGGTATGTGTGGCGCTGCTCTAGCACCTGCCGCAAAGTGAATATATGGTCTATACAGCCAAGTCCTGGGCGGAAACCGGCATGCTCTTCCCTAATTCGAGATTCTCGTTCCACAGTGAGGCGACTAACGATAACCGAGGCCAGTAATTTTGTCACAATTGGCGTTAGATTGATACCCCCGTGGTTAGAACAGTCTGTGCGACTGCCCTTCTTGTATATCGCCATTATAGTCGATTCGCTCCAATTAGCCGAGACACTTCCTTCCAGATACATTCGAATAAGGAGGTCAGTGGTTTGCAGAGGACCGCCCCTCCATCCTTAAACAGTGCAGATTAGAGAGAATCCGGACAAGCGGCACGAAAACGATTAAGGGCGGTGATCACGTTTCGGACCTCGGCCTTTGACGCCGGCTTTAAACTAACCGTCCATGGCTTGTCCTGCATCACCGGAGTAGGAAGAGGTCCGGGAGAAGGGGGCTAGCTGAACTGATCTTGAAAGTGTTCCTCCCAACGATCCATACGGCGCTCCTTATTGTGTATCAGTGCACCCGCGCTGTCTCTGATTGTCTCACCGACGCCTGGTTTCCTGGTACTGGTGGCGCGGATCAGTTGGAAGAGCTTGCGGTAATTGCCCACTCCTCCTGCCTCCTCCATTTCTTGAGCCCGACTGGTCCACCAGGCTTCCTTGTCAGCATGCAGGCTCTGCTTTAGTTCACGCCTAATAGCCCGTCTGGTCACATTGTGCTCAAAGCCAACAGGAAGGTTTCTTCCGGATTCCAACAGGTTCACCGACCTCCCGGATATCCAGTGACTGGTGCGGTGACGACGGTTGATAATGCCACAAGCAGATGCTCCTAAGTCGTGCATGACGGCCGAGATCCTATTCCACTGAAGCTCAGTGTCATTAGGACAAGACAGCGAAAATTCGATATGCAGTACGTCTTGATAGGTTTGACTGACCGAGGACTGAGACAATTTCTCCGTTGCCAATCGGAGGAGACGCTTGGTGCACCTCCCGTCCATGCACCTCTCGTTCATGGAGAAACGACAGGCATGATCAGAGTCGACACAGGTATTCCAATACAAGCGGCAATCCAGGATGGAACCACGCCACCCGTAACTTAAGGCTATGTGGTCAATTTGGGTCCATTGCTAGACAGCTACAGGAGGACGCCAAGTGGCACTTCGGCGCCCACTGTGACTAAAAGCAGTGCTACTAAGAAATAACTGGTGCTCCGCACACAGCTGCAGCAAGGGCTCGCCGCTGTCGGTCTCTTTGGAGTTAAGCCCACAATTACCACCCAGCTGAGCTTCTGAAGAGCCTAGATTACCTACTTTGGCATTCATATCCACTGCAAGTACTATAGTAGCTGAACTAGTAGCACTGCGTAGTAACGCGTTTAGTTAGTGACAAAATGTGTCCTTGACAGCATTAGAACTGCAGTCATTGGAAGCATAAGTGGAAATCACAAACAAACAGGGTTTTGCATTGCTTCGTGAATCCACCTCAGCTGATGTCGTCAAACGGGCTGCACATAAACGGCTGTTCACCGGAACCCAATCAACCATCGATGGCTCAGCCCTGGAGCTTAGAAGGATACCTACACCAGCTTGACCCGTGAGTGCTGCTTCGGCGTCTCCGGATGCGTGCAACCAATAACGAGAGGATAAGCCGGGTGCAGTCAATTCAATAACCCCGTTAGGGTCATTTATTCTAGTTTCGGACACACAACACACCAATACCCAGTGTGTCCAACGAGCGTGCGAGTGCAGCCTGTTGACCTGTTTGCCTTACAGTGCGAACGTTGAATGTCGCCACGGAAACGGGATAGCGTGGCCTTATAAGGGACTTTTGCCGATAGGCGTCAGATGGGTGCGGTGGGATGGTGGCTGCAGATGGTTCCACTCCAGTGGCACTTCGGTTGATGTCAATTAAACTGAGCATTATAGAAGGAAGGTTAGTAATGGGGGTCGGGATGGGAATAAGTGAAAAGGTGAAAAAGAAAGAAGGGAGGTGCCAGCAGTAGCATGTTTTCGCTTATCCGCCCTGCTGTATGCAGCAGATAAGGCGACCCTTGATAATCTGCGCGATGGCCGATGCAGGATGAAGTTTATGTTTAAAGAAAATGTCATGGTTGTATGTGGGCTGGGATACTGCCAGGGCGCCCAGACCTAGACAGAAGGACGATTAGGGTCCTCATCCAAAGCATTTGGCTCAAAAGCCTGTCCGCAAGGCAGCGAGGAGGTGGCAATGATTTAGCGTTAGAGAAATGGACGCCATCCTATTTCAAACCCCAACCTGGAGGACCAGGAGACTGAGTTTGTCTGACCTCTCACAATTGACCAACCTGGTAGGAGTAGCTCTCAAGGTGCCCGGAGGCATCACCCAGTATAGCTCAATGGGTTGATGAGGTACGCAAACCGTCGCACTAGGTTAAGGTCCAGTCTCGTTGCGACGGTAGCTTCTCACCGATCGCACACAAGTGCGCGCTGGTAAAAATATTATTCACTCGGGCCAAACGTATCTGCCACAACTACTGCCTGCCTGAGGAGTTTGAGTTGATCACTAAAACGCTTAAGGAAAATTGCTACCCAAAGCGATTCACAGACAAACATAGCCAGGTTTCGCCACAGTACCGAGGGAGAGGATGTCAAATTTACGCCGATTCACGGCGGGAGTGCAATACATGGGTTTACGAAAATATGTGTACAGTTTGGTCCGCACCAATTTGTGATCAGTGTCACACTCGGCTCCACGCAGTACACGCGTCACGCGCACCTCAGGCATATCCCGCTAATGTACGATGACATAGTTGAGCAAGTGAGCGTGACCACTCAGTGCGTGAGTCCAATTTGCTATATCACGCACTCAGTGCAAACCGAGTGTTCGTGATCGTCAGGTCGTGAGTGGCACACAGTAAGAGCAGCCTGTCACCGAATTCGCTGAACAATACCGTGCGGACCGATAACATCTGCCCACACTAATGCATCACGACCAACGCGCGCGTTGAAATCACCCAGCAGAAATAGTCGGTCGTTCCTCGGAATAGATCGTATCACGGAGGAGAGCTGAGTGTAGAATTGATCATGCGTATCATCAGGATAACACATGATCGGACCGTACGTGCTTATAAAGGTGGAAAACTTACCTCTTCCAAGTCGTAGGCGAGCAGTCATCAGTCGCACGCTGATGTCTGTTGGTTCATGCACCAGCTGGCCATGGTGGGGATCGGATATTGCAAATTCGGCTTCATGTTCACGTGGTGTTGAAGCGGCGTTGCCCACCCAGTAGAACGTGTAGCCAGCACCTGGCTTCATGCAACTTACCTTGCTCAACGAGCCGAGTCTCAATGAGCACCGTAATATCGGTATAGTAGCACGTCAGTTCCATCGCGACCAGTGCAGTGCGTCGCTCAGGGCGCTCACTTGAGTTCCGGTCCAGTAGTGTGTGCACGTTCCAGTACCCGACGCTGAGTGCTTTGTGCGCAGGCATACGATTGCATTGGTGGGCAACCGCACGTGAAGTGACGGTTGTGCTTCGGAGGTTTGATTGAGGGACTCCAGCCGGAGCCTTTGGCTCAACAGTCTGACCCACAATGTAGTGGGAGATTTGGAGGTTTGCTTGAGGGACTCCGCCCTGAGCCTTTGGCTCAATAGCCTGACCTACAAGGCGGTGTGGAGCAGATCAAGCTCGGGGACGTGGTTGCAGAGACAGATTGCTACATACTTGAGGTTCGTCACATGCAGACTTTAATGTACTGGAATGATTCATATATGTTTTGCGACCGCAGTAGGATAGGCACCTGCGACAATGGCCAGACGCAGGTTGGTTTTGTGGGAGTTTGCACTAATTTGACCAGGGGTTGCCTGGCTTGAGGCGGGCAGCAGCAAACCATCGAACATCCGGAGGTGCTCTCCCACCGTCAGTGACAATGCGTGGCGCTCGTGTTCTAGGTCAATCGAGTTGTGAGCTTGTACCCCGTGGACCTGTTGTCTCCCATGGCTAGGTTTTATGGGAAGAGGGCCATCGACAACTTCCTAACCTCTGAAGAGGATGAACTAGGATACTGCCATTGTGCCCACACCTTACGGCAGAACGACTTGCGTTCTCAGCGAAAGCCTTCGAATAAATGTATATCCGAAAGGCAGCGGGTCTGGCACATGGTCAGTTCACTGACTCATGCGGATTGGTGTCCTGGATCTTAGCAGGGAGAAGGGCGCAACCCAACTCCCACCCAGCGGTCGCCACGAGGCGTCCAGTACATGAGACCATGGCACAACAGCAGCAGGCAGACCATCTGTCAGGATCTAGCCACCACCAGCCTCAGCGCACCATAGGCTCTTACGCATGGTTGGCGGCATCCGGTTTCGGATTTGCCTGTCACTGTGGTCAGGCACAGGACGCCTGCGTCTACAGAGGGACCATGGATAGCTTGTGCTGCACCACCCACAGCTCCAACCACACACCCCATATCCAGTGTAAACCCGAAGGAATAAGACCAGGAGGCATGTGGATGGGAACCACAAGAGTAAAAGAGACAAACCGCAAAATAATACTCGTTATCACGCCAACGGAGCCACCGATTGGCCCCAGGAAGGCGCCATGCTCCCCCCAACACTAGTCCTCGCCCCGCCTTAACAACGTCTCTCCCCAAGCAAACACAAGCAACGTCTGTTTTGGCAGAGGGACACAAGGCCTGCACCATAAGGCCCGGTGGCTGGGAACCGGCGCGGACCGGTAGTCCCGGCTCCCCATCAATGAGTGCTCGGAACCGAGCTCTCTTTCACGTCTTTTATTGGCCCCCAATTTATATGGTGGGGGGGTTGGGGGGGTTGGGGGGGGGGGTGGGGGGGGGGGAGCCTAAACACAACACAGCGCACACGGCAGGTGACACCTGTAGCCAAACGTCGCCCGTCCCTCCCCATCCCAGAGGGACTACAGTGGAAAACAATCCGCACCTACACAACTGTCCTCCTGGAGCCAGTAAGCACCCAACGAGGCTTAGTGGGGTAATAGAACGAAGTTCTGTACGGACAACCTTGTCAAACACTGCACTATCAAAACGCAGCGGCCAGCACCGTGGATATCAAGCAACAGGCCATTCCACACTTCCTATGCGAGTTTAAAAAAAAAGCGACAAAAGCTGAAAATAAAATAAATCCAAATAATGCATATACAGATATGGTGGCATACATATGCTCTTCCCCTAAACTTTTATTTAACCATATAAGTAAGAGTTTTGATTAGCAAGGGAACGTCCCGCGATCAAAGTAAGAAAATGAATTCCATACAAACAGTTCCTTACAAACATGCTACACAACCAACCAAGTAGTTTACATCGGAAGGATAAGCGCACACTAGCGAAGCCCACGTGGCCAGATTGATAGAACATTAATTCAGGTAGGATAGAACACAAACCAAATATAAGGGAAAAATGAAAATTTTTAATAATTCAAGCTTAGAAAAATACACCTATTTAAAAGTTAAAAGTTGGGGTTTAGGGCCCAATTGCGATGGACGAAGCACAAGAATGCAACATCACCTCAGTATGGCCCTCTTAACCATCTAACGCCCCTTACAAAGGGGGGAGGATGGATGGGGTGGCGGGAGGGGGAACGGCAGAATTAGACACCTTGACCGACGCGCAACTCACCATTGAATAGCCCGCGCTTCCATGAATAACAGCCGAATTGACACAGATACTGATAGGTTGCTTCCCAGGTTCATCAGAACGCACAAGATTGGAACAACCAGATCCCTGCATGAAGATTGCATCTGGGATGCCCAGCACGCGTGTGTGAAGGACAAAAATTATCCCCGGTAAAGGTAACTGGATAAGCAGTGCTGCTACACCCTGTGTGAAGTCATACGGTCTAATTTTCCTCACACGAGCAACCCTAACTTCCGATACAGCACCCAACGGAGGGTGAGAGTGTTCGGGCGGGAGACCAGCAACCGGGACCCAACCGCCCAGCACGCTGTCCAACCCTCAAACCAGCTATGGAGACGCAAATCCACCCACTCACACACTGCAGAGGACACCTGACACATCAACGACGCAGGGACATGAATATGTCAGTGTTCTTATCCTCACTACGGAAATTCTGTGGGTCGGTTACAACCACTCTGGGGGCCATCAAACGCTCGGCTAAGCACGACTCTCAGCTCCCCACCGCTCGACTGTGCTGCTCCATATCGACAGTTTACCCGTTTTCAAACCACGCGTTCTGGCGCGCCTAACCGGCCGGCCGGGTCATGGGGACGGGGACCCGCATAATACATTGATAACTGGTGAATAATCAGATAAGACGAAGCCCCCGCAAAAACTTCCCCGCGCTCCCCAAGCCGACCCCCCCGGCCCGCGCCCCATCAATCCCCCGCGACCGACCCCCCCCCGCCCCCCCAGCCGAGACCGGTCTCCCCCCCTCCTCACCCCTCTGTCCCCCACGCCCCCCCCCCAACCCTCAGCCACCCCCCCCCCCGCTCCCCGACCCCCTGGGCCCTCCCACGCGCCAACCCCTCACGCCCCACACCCCCCCCGGCATCCCCACCCCTCTCCCCCAAACCCCCAGTAACTACACCCCGACGCACCCCCCCAAAAAAAACCCCCCCCCGCACCACCCCCCCCCCGCCACGTCCACCACCACCCCAGGCCCCCAACCTCCACCGCGCAGGGGGGGGGGTAAACACCTTCAACTACCCCAACGACCCCCGCTAACTATTGTGCCAGTCGCCAACCCCCGTCTGAGCATGGCACCCTCCGCCGGCCCATGGCACACGCCCCTCAGCAAGCGGCGACGCGACCGCACTCCCGACCTCGACCAAAAAAAAAAAGGTGCGGAAGAAGGAACCCCAACGGGAGACACCCAACCGAGTACGCGCGCATCATAACGACCCACAGAACAAAAGTGGGGGCGAGGGGCGAGGGCGGGGGGGCGGGGGTGGCCAGGGGGGGTCCGAACATCCAGGTATAACCCCCCTGGTCCGGTATTATTCCACCAGACAAGGTGTGTTTTTTCATGTCGGGCAGCAAGATCAAAAAGCGCCAACAAATGGCATCCAAACCCGGAAGGTCTGTGTCTAAAGCCTCGCTCCCAATTCCACGGGAATTCAGGCATGCCTTGCCGACACCATTTCCCTTTTCTACTTAGGGATCGAAGATCGCATTGGGTAATACGCAAGGCCCACGGCACGGCACGCGGCACTGGGTGGGACGCGACACGTACCCCCAGGAGACGCAACCATCCGCCAAGAAACGCCACGGAAAAAATTATGCACCTTGCAAAAGACCTCAGGGGCAAAAAAAACTGTGTTGCTCATTAGATCGTCCCCTGGGATGGTTAGAACACGACCACGATCGGCGCGCACCCCACCCGGAGACCATGGGTACACCCCTCACCCGCGTCGCGGTAGGAGAAGAGCCCCCTCCAGCGAAACCAGCGGTCCAAGACAGCCCCCTCTGAGTGCATACCTTGCGACAAAGTGCACCAAAGGAGCCGAAGCCCCCGCTGTAGTAACCAATCCACCGTTTAACCCCCGTTGTTCGTCAATGAGACTGTTGAGAAGCGGAATACCCCACAAAGATTACTGGGGAGGTGGGAGGAGGCCAAGGGGGACTCGGGAGAACAGGAGGGGAAGTCAAGTCTTAATGAAAAAAGCATCCAGGTGTGCAGTGGACCTCGAGCCCGGCGCTGGGCTGTTCAAGTTTCACCTAGCGGGCAAGCCTCGACTCCGCCCCCGCCGATAAACGCGATGACAGCCGTAATCAAGGCCATACGTGCACCGGCCCGTAGAGTCAAGCCAACAGGCTTGGAGAAACAAACAAAGAACTTATACTCGAACTAGAACAACCCAGCCTCAGTTTGATCAGCTAATAATAATCCCATCTTGCCCCGCCGAGACCCTAGCGAATTCTTTACGGGCAAACATCAGCATCGTACACAATGGGGTCTCTCTGATAAGCCGGCCCCCGTCCCGCTCCCATCTGTTTCCCGGGGAACAATTCACTAGTGCTGCCAGGGGGGCTGTGGTGTGGAATGTGGGGTTTATCTCCAACCAACTCCCAACACTGGTATGAGAATGAGGCATAGTAGGCAGGGTTTTACCTTACTATACCCTATGATCTTCGTCGTAACCTTTCTACCTAAAAGAATCGAACCGGACAAACAACATAGACGTCCCCACGTGGGGCCTTGGAGCCAACAGATGGAGGGAAGGAACACCTCGGCAACAATCCCCTCCTGGGCGGGCCCCCCGTCCGCCCCTTCAAAAGCAAAAATGGCGTTTCATAGGGGCTTCTCCAACCCAAAAGCACAACGAACACGCTCTCCGATGAACGTGACATACCTGCTACTCCTACGATTTTCGCTCTCCCTCTTTTCCCATCAAACGGCGGACTTACAGTGAAAAACTAATCCCACGCTTTCTTTTGAATTCCGTGCACGAATAATAAAGAAATTTTTTTTAGCAGTGTAACCCACGGCAGTTTCGTAGCCGCTCGTCCAATCTAGTCTTTCCACATTTCCTTCTCTTCCCAAAGTAGAAAACAGGAGCAAACATAAACATATCTTCCCGACCCAATGTTGCCACCCTCGTCCACACCCACACACGTTCGGCGGACTCAGCGTCACAAGTCCTCACCAATTTTTTGTGTATCGCAATCCACAAAAACATGCCACGCTAGTGGGGCTATATGGCTGGAGGCCGTCAACCTGAAATACTCCCCCTCTTAGCGGCGAGACTCCGTCCGGAGCTTGCCCCTATGAAACTCGCACCTGGCGCTGAACAACACGGGCTGAAAATTTTTCGGGAGCCCGGTTTAGCGTCGAAATATCGAGGGCGTCCGGATTATAATTTATATAACAAATTTATACGTCCCTCCCCCAAATCCGCCCCAGGATTCCCTTCAACAACGATATCAATACGCAACTACTACCTTTCAGTCGACTGCACACCAGTATCAAACTTCATAGGACCGATCAGGCGCATACGAAGAGGAGACCACATTTGAAACTCATGTAGACACCAAGAGTGGCCCCACCAACTCTTTCATAATTTTATTTTTTTGGTGACGCTTACTGACGGTGGCCGGTGCCAACCTGAGCCGGCGGTAATATCCACACCTCTCCTCCCATCAATTTTTCTTCCGCGTTGCGTCCCATATCATAATATTACAGCAAAACAACCCACAACAAAAAAAACCACCGACCCCACAAGAGCCCCTAACGTGGCGAAGCAACGGGAGCACCATGAACCCAACCCCCACCATATCCAACAACATCAATCAACCTCAGCGGTGTTGGACTCGGGTAGGCCAGATATTTTTTAAACCTCCGCCCGCAACCATCGGCAGCTAGTGTCCCAACTTCGTCCCATGGACGTAGATTCCTTTCCTGGGAATTATAACATGCTCGCCTCCCTGCGGATGTTTCTGAAGCCTGCCAAACCATCTCCTATCGGTGAACCGCCTTCAAGGGCTGGTTCACACGGAGATTAACGCAGCCGATCGGAACCATCCTCGTTGTGAATCTTTGGGGCGGGAGCAGCAGTCCTAACACTCCCCCCCCCCGAACGCCGCCGCCTGCCTACGATCTGGAGACAGCACCAGCGGTGTAGCTGCTCCATGACTTGGAGAAGTCCGCCGCCCAACAACACCGTAATTTTGTGTGGTATGAGCTTTGCCCCTTCCGACAGAATACAAACCCAAAAAATACACCGGCTCCGTCCCCCAAAAAGTAGTATTCCAGAGAACTGGGGCATGGCGAAGAGCTTCATGTCCCTTCTCTCCGCCGATATCGGGTCATCCAACCGATTAGGGCAACCACAAGATGGGTCGGGGGGCGATAAAAGTGTTTATTTGAATTCTTTGGGAGTTTGGCTGGGTTTTTTTTTTACATATAAGCATTGGGCCAGTTCGCGGGAAACACGAAGTTAGGAAATCTGAGATCACTTCTTCCAACACTGCGGTGTCTCCAAGGGCTAGATGGGTTGTCGCCTTCCGTTAATCTTCTTTACAATTCACCCGATACGACCGCCTTATACAAGGTGTCCGTGTGGCATCGCCGGTCGCGCTCCCGGGGGCTGACCTCCAGCATCGCCTCCTCCAAAGAGGAGAAACTGTTATCTACCTAAACAAAGATCGCGACGGTAAAGCCGTGAAAGCGGTCTCTGCTGTGGACGGTACTGCCGCAGAACACTTGATTAGGCACCTTAATACGCACTCAACCGACAATCAAGCGATATCAGATTCCAGATGTGTGGGGGGTCTGTTTCCCACCAGACCCGTGTCCATTCGATAAACACCCGCTATTGGGGGCCCTGCTATGCCATACCCATTGCTGGTGACCCCCACCACCGCGACTGGCAGGCACCTACACGTCAAGTAATGAGCGAACGTCTCGGACCCATCCCGTCGGCGGCGAGAGTCCTCAGATCTAACAGACCCTTTCCTGGGGGTGCCGACCGATTGGAGAGCAAAAACCACGCCGCGTTCCAGCCTGCGGAAAGCTTACGCTGGCACTGCGGAGGTCCCCTGACTGTGCTCGCGGGATACCCGCAATGTCTACCACCCAGGCGGGAAAATGGGCGGTCGGAACGGACGTGCGCCATGTAATTTTCTATGGAGAGGCGACAGGCGTGGGTTTTGGAAGCGACGATCACAGGTCAGATCGTCCCAACTGTTGGACTCCCTGCGCCACACGCAAAAAAACGGTTGAAGCTGGGGGGCATGTCTTATTGATGTTCCCCGGACTCCACGGGGAAATATGGGGACCCAAACTACCAGGTAAACTCCAGGCAGCCGAACAAACACCAATATCCACACAAAATACCCTCTGGTTGCACAATCGCGCACGCAGAGAGGATATGGCCACGGCACCGTTAAAAATTCCATGATCGATACTTGTTGTGAGAGCCTCTACTAACCCTACCAACCGTATGCTTTTGGGGGTTTCCGTGCTAACCAATATCAATTCATGCTTATGGTGTGTGTTGGTCGGGGAACCTCAGCCAGTTGTTATCGTACAAAATTGTTAGTGTTTTTTGATACATATATAATACATACGAAATATATATATAAAATTATTATATATATATTATATAATCAAAAACTCGGCATCAAATCCTCAATGGCTTGGATGTTTGATGCCGGCTAATAAACTCATCACATACTTTTGTTTTTCTTTTTTTACATCGCAAATTGGGGCTATAAACACCAAGCAAATAGACTAATTTAAAATTTTCTCGTATCAGGACTCTTTTAATCTGAATTAATACATAACAAATTGCACTACGAGCCGCCGCTTAAGAGCCATACATGGATGGATTAATAAACTCATGCGCCGAAATGTTTCCCGTTTGGACATATCTATTTAACCAAAATTGCATTTTTCCTCACAAGGATTGTACCTCCGTACGGTTGAGCCATACGATACCGGACAGCGCGCATGTAAGCATACAAAATGACCTCAGAGAACTATAGCTGGAAGAAATACCCATCGAACATAAACAATCACCGAGCGAGCCGGCCGTACAGGCGCCGGAGAATATCTTACTTACACTCTTCCGCACGTAACCAAATTAAATGTGTCATAAATGCCTCTCATTATTTAAATTTAAAAAAATTGATTATAAATTTAACAAAAAAAACAAAAAAAAAAAAAACAGGGATGCATTATGTTCACCGGTACGTATCTAAATATCGCACTAATCTTTATTGTCGGAGTTTTAACAAAAAAAGGTTTTTATTAAAACAAAAAACTATTTTGTATAGGCAACCAAACCAAAACAACACAAACCGACAATGATTGCCCAGTGCTATATCGCAGTATGTAATTCTAGCCCTCTCCCCAGATGTGACTGCGCTAGAACACCATTGGGCTGTTTGACAAGGTCCATGACCACATTGTTTTCCTCTACTAATATCAAATAAAAGGACTCTACTCCATATTACCCACCCGTCGCAAACGCCTGGCTGCCAGGAGCCACAGAAAGGTTTGAGTCATTGTCTGAGATTAGGTTGGGGGGCGATGCGCAAGACACGGCTAGGGGCGGAGGGGGAGGGGGCTGAGGGGGGGTGGGGAGGGCGCGTGGGGGGTGGACACGGTATCCAAGGCCCCGCCCCCGCCTCCCCCGTCACCATCCTGCTTGTCTCGGGGGGCCGCGAGTGGCTACGCAGGCTCCAACGCGACGGGGAGGTGCATTCCCCCAATGTCACCCGAAGTGCGGGAGTGGTGACAGGCCGGGGGGCGCGGTGCGTCAATGAAACTCCTCCTGCCAGGCTAGCCCTATGGGGGCCATGCGTCCAACCAGTCTGTTGCCGGGGTGCGCTGAACACCCCCGACCCCAAATACAGAGTTGCTTGGTGTGTTTTTTTCTGCCTGGGAAGGTCGAGTGTTTAGCGAAGGGGCAACCTAGGCCTCTGCGTTGATGAAAACGTGGGTTTCCTCCCCCCCCCAGGATGAATGAGCACCTTCCGGGCCTTATTTTTCCTTCGAGTATTTATAAACCTATGGTAATATTGGGGTGTGTGGTTCGGAAACTCGGCGTGGGGTGTAGGGAGCCCCAGACGCGCAACGCCACGCGAAACGACATAGGCACAACAAACACCCTCATGGCAACGGGGACCCTCTCTGGTGTAGGGTAAGTAAGGCCGGGTGTCCTGTGTGGCTTGGAATCACCGCGTCTGATAATAATAGACTCGCACGACGAACAACACCCCGGCATGACCGCCTCAACAATCTCTCACCTCCCAGATCTCTCTCTTGCTTTCTATTCTCCACAACTCTTACGACGCCTCTCTGGACTCGTCCTCAACTTCATCTTCAGCTCTCATCTCATCTCCATCCTTGCTTTCTATTCTATCAAATATAAATATATATTATATATAACATAATATTATAATAAGATCTCTATATAACATGTGTATAATATATACAACAAATGTCCCCTCACGCGGGACCCACGCGGGGCCGACGGCCAACGGGACACGGGCCAGGCAGATGACAGTGCTTACCGGGCGGTGCATGGCAGTGGCTTTGTGTTGGTGGGGTGTGCGCACGCCGCGGGTTGTGTGTCTGTGCCCCCCTCCGGACCGCCGCCCCCCGCGCACTAGGCCTCCCCCCGCGGAGATTCACTCAACCTATCCCCTGGTAGTCAAACCACAAAAAACCACGGTGTGAGGTGTGCGATGTCTCGACCACACACCTAAGCAAACCCGAGCAGGTGGGCAGTCATCCCCTCACAAAGACAAACCCCGCAAACAACACCCCCCCCAACGGCCCAGGGTCAACCCACTGGGCCTGCCTTGCGTGTGTGGTGGTTGAGGCGGGTGGGCTCCCGGAGGGCTGGTATGTAGTGTCTTTTGCGTAGGTCGGTGCTTGAGATGGTGGACAGGTTATTGTCGTTCCCTATCCCACCTCTCCACGCCACCCCCAGCGGTAGCCCCGCCTCCATGAACGCGAAGCGGAACCAACCAACCAGGACTACCCGCCGACAATCCACAAAGCGGCAGGCTACCTACCTGAATTCGAAAGGTCCGCCAGACTCCATCCATCGCCCTCGCCCATAGGCCGCTAAGGAAACAGGACCCACATGGGTTCCACGATGAGTTTCCAGAACGTCTGACCAAAAACCATCGCGGACAACTCTGCAGCCAACCTGCCGCTCTATCTACCAAAGCCCCCGCCACTCCAACCCCCCGCCCCCCCCCTCCCCTAGGATACCTACAATATAGGCTATATTGCAACGAGTTCCCAACGACCACCCCCGACCCCCCGCTCCGACCTGTCCTACCCCTCCCGCGACCACCCCCCCCCCCCCCCACCACGCAACACTAGCCCCCAACGCACAACACTGAGAACCAGCAATTCTCCCTCAGACAAGGGTTGTGTCAAACGAAACCGCACACACTCTGCAGTGTGAAAGCAGCCAGACTAACATGCTTGCCGGAAGACGAGAAGAGGCTGCAAGCAGAATAACAGCCCCAAGACCCTGGCCTACCAAAAAACCACACTCCCCACAGAAGGCCTCCCACCACAAAGCCGGAGCGGGACGGAAAAGGGCCAGGGGCTGGAGCGCCGAGGGGGGCGCAGCGCGAGGGGCGGGGGGGGGGGTGGTTTTCAGGGGGGGGGGGCGGGTAGGGTGTCGACAATCAAAATAAAATCCGGACAGCCGAGAAGAGACTTTCGTCCAGAGAAGGCGTATAATTCTCGAGGTCTGTTTTATTTTCACTCTCTAATAGCTCTTCAGACCGCAGTAGGAGACACGGCACCTCCTTTAACACCCGAAAGGGGATGACCGAGGTCCGCTGGTTCGGTCCACGACAAATGGACGAATACCCACTCGTCAACGCACCCCGACCCCACGGGCAGGACCCAAACGCAGACTTGTTTTGATATTTTATTAAGCATATACCCTTATAACATCTATAAGACGCCCCATGTAGAACTAACCGATAACCTAATAAGCGCAAATAAAACCCCCACAGAAAAAGATAAAAATCCCACAAAACCGCACAACACAAAAACCAAAACAGCCAATAAAATCCCAAAACACGAAAAATAACAACCCAAAAACATAAAACAAACAAAAGCCCCCGCCAAAAACCATAACAATAGAAAAAAAAACAAACACATAAAAAAATACGGCCAAAAGCAAAACACCCCCCATGAAAAAATAGTAACCCGACCACCCAAAAACACAAACTGCACCGAAACAACCAACCCACACCGCCAACGTAAGCCAGAATTAAACACAAAAAAAATAAACTTTACACCCCAACCCGAAAAAAAAAAAAAAAAAAACTCCCCAAAACACCACCACTGATGTCCCCCACAAACCCCAAAAATTAGAAACACCGTCACTAAAAAACAATAAAACACAACCCAAAAAACTTAACGGCGACTGACCCTCAACAACCCGCTACAATGTCCGAACCAACGCAACAAACCTAGTATCAACAACCGCCATAGCCTCCGACCAACACGAAAGAGAAAACCGGAACCCCGCAACGCAAAATGAAATACAACCCCGAAACGGCACCAAAACAACATCCCCCCCTACCATAAAAGAGACCAACACCCAAACACCGAACCCACCTGAACCGCAAAAATGATACAGAAAAAACCCCCCGTCAGTCCAAAAAATATACGCCCAAAAAAAAAAAAGATAGCCCGAGAAAACAGCAGCACATAACCACACCGCATACAAAACCACGACAACCCCATGACCAAGAGCGACAAAACAAACACTGAAAACCAAACACACATACACAAAAAACACAAGAAACACAAACGCAACAAAAGACTCCAAAACAAAGACAAGCCCCCCCCAACACAGCAAAGGAACCACCCTCAAAACCGCGCCAACACCCACCAACCCAGCCGCACCACAAGCTCCCCCAAACTAAAAACATAGACCTCCCAAAAAACAACCAAAAAACACCAACTCCAAAAACAAATACTATAATGAGGAGCCCACCCCCCTCAACACGATCCCACCCACCCCAAACCAACAACAGACAACGAAAACAAACAAAAAGAAACGAACCCAAAAAACCCGCAAAAAAAAACCCCGACACACAGAACCCGACCCATCAACGGATCCCTAAGACAAAACCGACCTTGACTCAAAAACCCCCACCAGAAAAAGAGAAAGAAAAACAGCACACGAAGGCCCAAAACCCCACTAAACCCAACCAAAAAACAAAGCAACAACCAAACTCCGATAAAGACCCCCACCACAAAACCACACCAAAGACCGCCACAATAAACTCCCACCTTAATAACCCACCCCTCTCAAGGGAACCTCCCCGATCCAACACAAACACCAAGGAAAGCTATACAAAATAAAATAATACCCAATGAAGAACCCCCCCCACAACAATAACATAAACCCCACAAACCAAAACCCCACCAAATCCCCCCAACCCCCAAACGCCGACATCACCCCCAGAACCCGCCCCCCCCAACCGAAGTGCGCCCCAGGAAACCCCTCCAAAAAAATACAAAAAAAACAGACAACAAAAAGATGCCAAAAAAAAAAGAAATCCCCAAAAAAAAGCAAAAAAATGCAAAACCCCAACATAACACCCAACGAGCATGATCGGTCCCCCGGCGCCCACCCGCCCCCTGTCCCCGCCCCGACGTAAAACGACTGCCCTGCCCCCCCACCCGAGACCCCATCTCCAAGCTGCCCGCTGAACCTACCGACAGTACACCGCACAACCACATCGCGAGACAAGAGAACGGTGCTGGGGCCGCCCCTTCTTGCGGGCCCACGGCCCCCCCCACCAATAGAGTTACAAGGGCAAATACGGCTTTCGGTTCACTCTCCCGACGGCCGAGCTGCATCCTACGACCCGGAGGACTGCCGTTAGTGGTGGGGTGCTTGCGTGGAAGTAGGAGAAATCCCCGGCGCCCCGAGCCCCACCCCCACCCCTCACCCCACCACCGACCCCCGAGCGATTCAGTCCGACGGGAGCCGAGTGTCCCAGCCCCCCCTCCAACCCCTCCCGGATGCAGCCCACCGCCCATTACCTTGTATACCCCACGACACCCTCCCCCAGCCTCACCCCCATCCCTTTCCCCGGCCCTCCCCCCCCCCCCGCCTCGGCCTCCCGCCCCCCCACAAACCCCACCCGTCCCCCAGCTCCCCCTTCACCCCCATCCTGCCCCCGCACGACCACCATCACGGTCCCCCCCCGAGCCCCACCCCCGTCCATCCTACCCGCTTCCCCGTCCACGCCCTCCCCCGACCACCCGCCCACCGTCACCGACCCCCCCGGCCCCCCCTCCCCCCCTGCCCCCCCCCCCCCCGCCCGCGCCTCATCGCGCGACCCGCCGCGCCCCACCAGTCAAGGGTGCCCATCCCGACCCTCCCCACAGCACGCGTCCCCCCACCACACCAGGCCACCCCCCCCCCTCCCCCCACCCCACGTCCCCCCTCGCACCCTCCCCACTTCCACCCCCCTCCCCTCGCCCTGAGTCCCGAGCCACCACGCGTTTAAAGCCCCGCGCATCCACTGCACGCACAGTATATGAAGCAACCAACATATTTCAATTACTGCCTACTAAGATCTTTCAGTAGCTAGTTTTATGTAATGCGTAGACTGAAGCACATAGTCGACTCGTTTTTCATTTGTAGTCCGACGGTAACAATTCCTAAACACCATGCAGACATTCTAAAATATTTACAGTCTACCGGTTATTTATCTACCTAATTATTTTTAAAAACGCCTTCCCCATAAAATAGACTGTTGCTAAACTCATTCTTTTACCGCATAAAATGCCACTAGGCGTACCTATATATAGACTGATTATCCAACTTTCGCATTCCCCTTGCATAATGACGTCTTTTTTTACATAGACGGACGCTACCGCATTAGTGCATCATCTTTTACTGTACGCAAATTGCTTGCAAATGTCCTAACCAATGAGTCTGCCATTAACACCCGCTAAACAACGCCGATTACAGGAGCTGTGTGATCGGAGGTCGGAAAAATTTGTGTGGTTTCGGTACGTTCAGTGGTACAAATTGTACATAGCAACGGTTGCGTAGCGACATTGCCAAGGTGGATGAATGTTTAAAAATGGTAAACTAGGTTTCAGAAGGCTTGGGAAATGACATTGTATGTGAGTTACGATGCTGTAGAAATGATACCCTGTACTGGTGCATGTGCGAGTGTTTGTTTTGTTTTTTCGGTGGCCATCCTGGTTTTTCCTGCTATTGCCATGGTTGTTGATGATAGTGAGCTGTTCAGGTCTATGGTTATTGCGAAGTATGAAAGTGTTGAGGACCTTGTGAAGCGGTTGGGACGTTTTCAGATTGCGACGGCGACTTGTTTTTCCCGTGCATCTTCCAAGTCTGCTGCGGCATACCATCGTGGAAGGAGGAAGCCGGTTCCCGATGGGGAATGCTACGGTTACATCATGTACCGTTGCTTTCATAGTAAACGTTCAGTACCACGTGGCAAGCGGTAAGTTGTGTAACTTTTTGCATCAAGGCTACTAACGCCTGTAGATACAAATCGTACAATTACAAGGCTCGGTTCTCGGTGGTTATGAAAGATGGGAAATATGTCGTGGGGAGTTACGTCATGACGCATGGTCATGATTTTCACGTGGGCAACCCATGGTTGTATGCAGCGAACCGTCGTCTTTCTCAGGAGCAAGAGAGGGAAGTTCTGCGTTTGATGGGTAGTTTCCATAGTACCCCGGATTTGCGTCATTTTATTTACTTGGAGTACGGAAAAAGGGTAACTCGTCTTGACCTGTATAATTTGCGGATTCGTCATCGGAATGGGAATGCTTGTGAAGTGTCAGATGTGGCAACGATGTTGCAAGGACACGGTGCGTGTCGGTTGGTGTCGGAGGGTAGTCAAATACGTTACGTGTTTTTCTCTCCATCGTTAGTTGGCGGCATTGTAAGTCGTTATGGTGAGGTGCTGTTATGCGATGCCACCCATCAACTGAATTATGGCGGCTACATTTTGTGGCACTGCATGCTGGTTGATGTCACCGGTCTGGGTATTTCCTTTTTCTACGCCCTATTACCGGATGAGACATCCTACAGCTATGGGCAGGCGGTTGAGGCGATGCGGGATATGGTGCCTAGCACCTTACGTTGCCACACGGTGGTGATGGATAAATGCGCCGCTCAGATCCGCGCGTTCAGACGATTTTATCCGAACGCGAAGGTGGTTTTTTGTCGTTACCACGTTAAAGTGGACATGTCTAGACGTTGCGGCCGCTTACGCGGGATCTCTGATCCGCGTAGAATGCAATTACGAGGTTGGCTGCATAACCTCATATACACACGTGACGCCTCGGTGTTTGACAGGATATTGAACGCGGTGGGCAGGGCGTCTCCTGAATTGTACCGTTATTTGTGCGCGACGTGGATTCCCCACGCGGACTCTTGGGCGGCGCACAGACTCAGGGATACCATTCTTTTTGGTTGCCACACCACCAACAGGGTGGAGAATGAAAACCGACATTTGAAGGAATACCTGTCGGAGAGGTCCTCCCTACTCACCCTGTTCAATTGCGTGGTTGATAGGGTCAACACACTGGTGCACCGAAGGAACAGCATACTAGGTAGGCGGTGCATGAGCGCAATCGCTGTTCCATCGGAGGTGTCCTCAGTGGCTTCCGTATTCTGCAAACTAAGCGACTTTGCGGAAGATGTTTTCATGGAGCATTTCCGTACGTCGACGGTTCTCAGTTGTAGGGCTGATGGGCCTTACTGGTTGGTTAACTGTCCTCGTTCGAGAGTGCGCCGAGTGTACATAACGCGGGGCAGTGAATGCGATTGTGAGTTTAATCGGCAGTGGCGGCTGCCATGTGCTCACATTTGTTATTTGGCGGCGCGTCACCCTCACGCTGCGCGGAACATACTCCATGGATGTCGCTGGATCGCACCCCGGCTACCTGCAGCAGCGTCATCGGAGTCCGTTGCGTCAGCTGAGAGGGTGCAGATTGTGCAACGTAACGCGGTGGATGGCGATGCAGTTGTGAACCGCACGTTGAAACTTCGCAGGACGCAGCATGTCTTAGGGGACATTGGCGCTCAATTGGTTACCTACGGATCGCAGAACTTCTCTGGTGCCTTGAATTACCTAAAAATGGTTGCCTTGCTGATGTCGAAGGACCCCACTTTTCAGTTGTATGGGCGAACGTCAAGGTGGCCTGTACCCCTTCATTTGGATACCGAGGAGAACGTGCGCATCTTATGCGGCTTTCCTACTGCGGGGACGTCTGCTGGTGGCTCCGCGTCTGCGGTATGCCCCACGTCGACAGGAGAAGCGGTTGGCCCTTCGCAAGGTACGCAAGTGAATGAGGCGGTGCGTGCGAATGAAACGGAAACACCTGTTCCATCGACATCCACAGGTGTGTCCAGGAAACGCAAATCGCCCCTTAAGTGCAGGGTGACAGAGGTTAGCCCGGATAAGAGTGCGCTAAGGGGCAAACGATTCCGTAACCTTCGCACTCGGACATCCACGGGCTACCGTGTTCCTGTGAGCCAGAGACGGGGAACTCAGGGCTTCCTTTCGGAGGATTTATGCGGAGTATGTCAGCAGGAGGAGGATGTTGATGGCCATGGAGATTCGGTGCAATGGGTCCAGTGCGACGCGTGCTCCCACTGGTACCACGCGTCCTGCGTGTGCTATTCCGGTTCGGACGAATTTCTGTGCTTCTCGTGCTCGTCCTAATGTAACCGTTACGTGCCTGATCGCCGTTGCATGGCACACGGCTCAGGTATGTACCTTATCTGTGCCCTAACGGTGATTGCATTTCCCTTACAGCATGCTGTGTTTACTTTTCCCCTTGATATCAACACCTTTTAATTTCAATGGAACAATGCACCGATAGATCTGCAGCACGGAGGAAACGTGCAACGGTAAGTTACTCCTAGTATTTCGTTTACGGACGGTCCTTTAGGCACCGTAATTCGGTTGTCATGTATGCAGCGGAAGTCAATGGCAGGGCATGTGCTCCTACGTACCGGTAGGTACCTAGATAAATGTGTGTTACGCATGCTTACAGGACGTAAAATTTCCTGGAAGCATCCTCGCAGTTATTTTCTTCCGTTGCTTCATGGTTGTCGTTTATCACGGGAACGCGTACACACGGAGAAATGTTATTCAATTTCGCGCTGTCATATGTCATCACAGGTAACAAATAGGATACATGTGTGATTTTGTGCTGCAGTTGAACCCACATGTAACGCCAATAGTGTGCTCATAAACGTGGGACACGGAGCCACCTTGGTCGCTTTGCCAACGCCATGTGAACCTGCCATGACAGCATTTCCCAGGTAAGAAATCCGATTTATGTGCAATGGTGTTTTACAGTGAAGCCCACATGCACCGCCCATAGGCTGCCCATTCTCTGGCGCCAATGAGGCACCTCTGACGGATCCAACACCGCAATGTTAACCTGCAGTCGGAGTTGCTCACAGGTACTGAAAGCCATCCTGCTGTCATGTTGTATTATAGTGAAGCCCACATTCACCGCCCAATGGTTGTCCATTCACTGCCGCCACCTACCTGACTCCGACGCATCGCCCACCGCAATCTTAACCTTCAATCGGACTTGTTTACAGGTAAGGGAGGCCATGCTTCTGTAATGTCGCTTTACAGTGCAGCCCACATGCACCGCCCAATGGTGGTCCATTCACTGCCGCCACCTACCTGACTCCGACGCATCGCCCATCGCCACCTTAACCTTCAACCGCACCTGTTCACAGGTAAGGGAGGCCATGCTTCTGTAATGTCGCTTTACAGGGAAGCCCACATGCACCGCCCAATGGTTGTCCATTCACCGCCGCCACCTAGCTGACTCCGACGCACCGTCCAACAACATGTCAACGTGCAATGGAAGTTGTTTACAGGTAAGGAGAGCCATTCTGCGGTGGTTTACTTTTTAGGCCATCCGTTTCGCCACGCCCCTGTTCATGCGTGATGAGTGCAGAACTTTCTTCTCACACCAGGAGGTGTGGTGTCCGCTGTATCGCCATGGGACCACCGAGCGCGGATGAATCACCATGTCACCTTGCAAAGTGAGGGCCGTATTCCATTACAACTTACCGTAGCCTTTCCCACATTGTATTGCGATTGCCACGGTTTGCCGCGGGCTGGGGATAACAAGTCGCTGACACATCTGTATGTGGTGTAGGTCCTCCCCTTCTTACCTTTTTACCGTTGTGAACGAGCCAACGGCCCTTTTCAGGGCCACCCCTGTTCTATGTCCCCGCGTCTCCCCTACACGGGTTGCAGCACGGGAAACATACGTTCAGAGGTGGGGTCGGTAACCGTCTGAACTTATATTGTCTCTCACCATGCACTTCACTTTATGTGAATCTTTGACACAGCATTGCGTATTGTGCGCGTATCTGCCTTCGGTAACCATTTCTCAGTGTTCACCCTTGGTGGGTTCAGAGCTAGATGCACGTTCACTCACCTAGCGGTGGACATTTCTGAATG